AATGGCCTAGGGCCTGAGCCTCCAGATATAGTAAGAGGAATTATTAATCCAGATGTTGCTCCTTCAGATGTATTTGAATTTATATTTGTTGGTGGCAGAGAGCCTGTACTGGATCCATCACTTTCAGAAGTAGCAGATGGTGAACCATTGACAGATGCTATAAAAGATTTGTGGAAAACAACAATCTTTTATTTTCAGAAATCTAAATTCAGGATAGAATTTTAACTTAAAAAAAATTAAAAGGCAGATGACACAGAAAATTTAAGATGTGGACATGTAGGTAAAAATAACTTAAATAAAATCAACTTTTTAAAATAACTTTTTGGGTTCTATCTACTCCATGTCTCTTTACTAATTATGAAGCACATGCAAATTCTGATTTCCTGATGCCACAGAAATAAAAGCTTTTAGAATAGGAAAGCATTGGTATCCCTTGGTGTTATAAATTCATTTAGTAATTTTTCAGATCCTTAAAACTGTCTTTTCTATGAAACCCTGCATATCAAAGACCAATTTTTGATGTTATGACTATTAAGCAATAGCACTGTACATAGTACATCTTCAAGAAATACCGGACAAAACAATTACCGGGAGAAGTCACCAATATTTTGACAAAGTAGTATATGATTTTAAAGACTGGGAATATATTATTAACATAATTTTTACCCCAAACAGGGGAAGATGTATAATTAAAAACAAAGTTTTTAATAAAATGATTTGTAGGGGCACCTGGGTGGCTCAGTCAGTTGAGCATCTGACTTTGGCTCAGGTCATGATCTCGCATTTCATGAGTTTGAGCCCCATATTGGGCTCTGTGCTGACAGCTCAGAGCCTGCAGACTGCTTCTGATTCTGTGTCTCCCTCTCTCTCTGCCCCTCCCCAACTAACGCTCTGTCTCTCTCTCAAAAATAAATAAACATTAAAAAGAAAATTATTTGTAGACAACCAATTTACTTTTTAATAATATTTGGTTTAATTTTTTTATACATTCCCTGTCCACATACTAGCAGAGGGAAATAATAAATGATTAAAGATTCTATTCTGGCTAATCAGGGAAAATGGATATTCTACCTAGAGCTGTTAACATTTTTACTACACAAAATGTGTTCATTGGTTGCATAATTTTTGCTTCAAAATCTGAATATCATTTAGCATTGTTGGGTTACTCACCATTTACTAATTGTCTTTTTAAAGGATATAATGAGAAAAGCAACCAGATCCCTGACAATATGAATAATGCACATAGGGCTCTCATTTTATTTCTCATTTTCAATAAACCACTTGCCTCAATAGATTTTCCCTAGAGGAAAAACTTATGGAAAAGCATACCTTTGTCTACCTACAGAAAGATCATTCTGGGCCAAAATCTTAAATATAAAAATACCGCTAGAAAACCAACCTGAAAGAGTCTCCTGATTCTTATCTGAGGATCAATTCCCAAACAGAACGTTATTTATAATCACAGTACTGACAGTTACATCCCTAGTGTGTGGCTGGAATACACACCTGGTCTACGTGGGGTAGGTGGAGGTGGTCGTGAAGGTCTTGGAGGCCTAGAAGGTTTAAAACCGCCATTTGAGAGTGATGGAGAATTATTCCCATTGACCTTCCTATTTTCACCAGCCCCTGAATCCTCAGGTTCATCTGATCCATTTGGATTTGTTCTGGGTAAGAAGCGGGGAAAGGGAGGGGAAAATGAATGTTCACTGAATTTAATAAAAAACAAGACCAAAACTTAAAATTTCTGGCCGGCCTTATCAAGTACGTGAATAGCCCTTGGGTAGAGTCTTATATGTAACCCTCAGAGCCCACCCAGCAGCAAGAGTGAGGAGTTGCCTAAGGGCAACAGAAACATGTGGGACTCTTCAAAACTATTAGGTATGCTGGTTCAGATTTCAAATTAAGTCTCTGGAGGCCCTGTATAAGCAGGAACAGAGTCAAATTCTCAAAATCCCAATGCCTTAGAAAGGGCACTATTTTATTTCAAGCCCAGATAATGTCACCATAATTTTCCTGGTTTCCATTGGCCCTTAATATTCTTCAGTTTTAGGGTAGGGTTGACTGTTTTATGGCAGAAGAAAGAAGTATACTTATTTTCCAGAGACAAGGTGTTTTCTTTCCATCCCAGAAAACGGTATACAAAATGTTGAAAATTAGTGATTAGAACAGAGGTGCCCACAGACCTTTTTTAAAAGGGAGGTGTTATTTCTTCACAGCAATGACATAAATTGAAAGAAAGAAAAGAGAGGGGAGGACAGTAATGTCAGATTGAAAGTTTTTACCACTGTCAGCTAAATATACTTGATTACTTTTCCCAGGGAAACCTAGCCATGAATTAGACAGCAGAGCGTTAGTTTAGACAGTTTGAAGAAGCCTCAGCTAAGGCTCTGCTATCTACTATCTGGTAAGCAGCAAACCACTATGCAGTATCAATCCATACTACAGTATTAATTATTCAGAATAAGCCTGAACAAAGTAATATCTAATCAATTCAAGAAATTAATATTGAGAGGCATGACCACATATTAAATCATATTCAAACTATGTTCCCCTAAAGTTTTTTTAATTTTTTAATGTTTATTCATTTCCTGAGAGAGAGAGAGAGTACAACCAGGGGAGAGGCAGAGAGAGAGGGAGACACAGAAACACAGAATCCAAAGCAGGCTCCAGGGTCTGAGCTGTCAGCACAGAGCCCGATGCAGGGCTCAAACTCACGAACCACAAGATCATGACCTGAGAAGTCGGTTGCTTAACCGACTGAGCCACCCAGGTGCCCCTCCCCTAAAGTTCTTTAG